TTAATTTGATTGGAACTTACAATATATAAAAAGACAAATTTTTCTATTACAGGAACAGATTTTTTGTTCATTGATACTAAAGAAGTTCTCAATTATTGTAACAAGTACTGAATTTAATGAATAGTACCACACCAATATTAAAAATAATTTTATTAATACGATAATACTATTAGAGTTATAATATTATCATGCTGAATAGCAAAAATTAAATAGTATAATAATACGTAAATTTCATTTATTTAGATACGTGTGTCAATTTGATATTTATCAGTAATGTTTTCTAAAGTAATTTATTCTGCAAATATCGTTTGGTTTCAAGAATATATTTGTTACTTTCACTGACCAAGTACCCAACTTTAATATACCCACACATAGGCTGATTGTTTTCGTCAGACGTCGACCGATTTGATTAGTCCCTGACGCCACATATTGCTTCCTCATACGTTTGAAAAGTTCAGTCGATATTGAGCGAATCGTCCGATATCGGTGCCCATTGTGACCACAGCCGTGTAGACGTGTTCTAGAAGACCATGAATAAAGCGATCAAATGTTTTCGAACTTTCGTTATTAACTAAGAGTAGATAAATATGGTCGAAGGTTGAGTCTTTCTAACCACCCGATACATATTCCTGTTCCCGTGCGTAGACACGATTGGGACTTTTTTTCGGACGGGGCCCCACGAGTGAAAAGCGATAACAGTAGAAAGTCAGCGTGGGCACTATCACCGGGATTCTAGTAAATTCTGATTGGACCCCATTGTGATAAGGGGCGACATCGAAATTTAATTAAACGCCCGGATTGACAGATTTACCCTTTTAGGAAGATTTCGTGCGAACGGGACCGTTATAGCCTGATGTCCCAGCGCGCCGGTGGAATTGAGTGAATCGTTTCTTGGAACAGAAAGGAATCAGAGTTGATCGGTCTTAACGAGTCCCTCAAAAAGACACTTAAACCTGATTCGATGTATTTTCTATCAGCGGAACACCCATTGAATTAACTAACACTATCATTGGTGAAATTATACACTTAATTCTTCCCAATACAAATTAATGCAGCTAATATTATCCTTTTAAAAAAATTATACGTTTTTCGCTCACCACACGAAGAAATTGTTTACGGTCCGAAGGAACCACTTTACGATTACACCAGATCAGTTTCTCAGTGTTAATTTTATTTCGAAACTTCGACAAATTTTTTTGCATACGACGTCTGTCCAGATTTTTTGAAAAAAATTATCTTGTGAAATATTTTCGAAACGGTTGAACGACAGTGTACACATCCCATTCGCGCGTTCCTTTTCCCCGTTTATTAATGCCGTTTACGTGTCCCCCGCGACGTGGTAAAATGGGCGATTAACATTTCAAGTCCATCGGCGAGATCTGAGGGAACCACGTCTTGAAACGCGTATTTCGGTGGACCAACGAAGCCCATTGGTCACCATAAAATAATATTGTCCGACCGAATGCCTGGCTACGGAACCGTACAAACTATTTTAAGTCAACCGGGCGTTCTTTGTTTATTTATGAGCGCACTGCTTTCGTGACCTCGACGGGGAACGGTGTGTTATTACAAGGACCTCCTTGCCCAGCAACCGGGAAACGATTAGGAAAACGGCGCGTGAGGTGTACGCGACGACACCCGGTTCTGTCACACCGTCCACATTACCATCGAAGACGCTTTCAATGGCACCCATACCCAAAAGCAAAGAATAAAAATTATCGCCGAGAACACCGTGTAATTCTATCGCGTCATTCAACTGAGTCATCGATCTTATTAATTGAGGAGTATACGTCAACGAAAACATTGGTAAGAGATATTTAAAATGTATAATAAACTAAAAGGCAATATAAATTCCGTCCAGAGCACCTTTATGATTTCAGTGATTGTAAAACAAGAACCAGTTTGGTAGTTCTAGTATTAGGCACGTTAAGGTTACTGTCGTCGATTAAGAAGTAGAAACAGTATGTAATAAGCAGACGTGTTAGTCGAGGTGTAATTAACCTGTTAACAGGAAAGACGAGTTAACTCGGCATTTTTAATCGACTGCACCATTCAATTACATAATAATTATCTAAAATTATTATTATCTATAACAGATCATAATACCAGGTTGATGAGAAATTAATGGCCGATCACCACTTTCACCTTTACTGTCATAATTCAGCGTATACTTTCCGTACACGGATCAAAATACATAAGTCCTACCGCAATTACCTGCCATTCTCTTTAACCAGCCTACTGAAAAGAAAAACAGCAGAAATTATTAATAACTTTCTCCTCCATTAAAGTATATATACACAATAATTAATACCATCCACCAGTTCTTACCCAACATTCTCCATAATTCCGCCCTGCGCCCTATTTTCCATACCAACCGTGACGTGTCCCCAAACGGTTAATATGCATCACACGACGCGACCATAAATCAGCACTCCCGATCAGCCCACCGCGAGTGGAAAGTATTCGGAGCGCAAAGACTTAATATTAATAACACCGTAAGTGTTCATCCTGCTCGCCTCGTGTATGCACCTCAGCCGACGTACGCTGCAACCAACGAAACGAATGCGATCGTGTACACAAGCAGACAAGAGAAAAGCATAAAGGACAATTCGTTTTGAATCGGGCGCGGCCTCGAGGATCTTCCCGTTTGAGATACAAGAACGATCGATCAATCGTGCGTAGGCTATTGTTGGAGCCGTTGCGCAAAGATTCGCGAGAGAAGAGGCTTTATTTGAACGCCATTGTGCGAACGCAGCCAGCCAGCAGCCCCGAAAACGGATACGCCTGGGACAATAAAACGCACGAAAGGCGGGTTCCCGTGGTTTAAAGGCGGACACGTAATTGGGATTCGCAGCACGCGCGATTTTGTGTTTCCGACCACCGTGTGCCCGCGTCTCGTCTTGTTTCCTCAGCAAACACCGGGGCATAATATCGCGTGTGGTCGAAAACACTTTTTCGCCCCGCGAAACGACCGACGACGAACCGAGGCCGAAGGGCCCTCCAGGAATTCCCCGAACCGTTGGCCGCGAGCGTGTCGTACCGTACGTCTCGCACGTAGCGCTCTTTTAAATGTTATTCGTAACCTGCCGTGCTTCGTAGTGATTCGGGATCTCGTGACGATCGATGGACTGTCGAGGAAAAATGGTTTGTACTCGCTTTGAACGCTATTACCACGATTAACGACTATCGCATTGTATTTACATAACCTAATTTCAAAGAAATTGATCGAATACGAATGTAATACAGACTTCTCTCGATTATCGTCTGGTTTGTTCTACACGATTATTGTCCAGGCGTTATCCCCACCAATTGAGGGGGGGCGTGGAACCTATCAAGCGCATACTTTGTTGTCCCTCCAGCAAAAAACGAATTTACAAAGGTCTGATTTCGGGACAATTATCAAGGAGTCTGTACGTCGATATTAATTTGAATACAAAATCAAACACCCCTGTCACATTTATTTAGCCCTCTACGTTTGCTTAAACTTCATTAAGGTCATTCCATAACGTCTTAATTTACTATAAATGCACAATATCTACGATCTAGTCGTAACGAACAGATAAATGGCAAATAGACTCAGAACGGTTTATGGTCATGCCATTTTCAAAGTCGGACGAGGGCGTGACAGAAGATGGAAAATGTATTTTGTGCTTATGGTAATCACCTTTCCGCTCGGTTCTTTGTTTAGGCAAGTTTCTTCGACCAAATAATGTCCAACAGCGGACAGTAGCCGTCGAGGAAACGATCATAAGCCGATCGTTGTTCCATTAGCACGAAATTTTCAGGTTTACGTTCACCGACGTTAGAACAAACACGGTCGGCGGGCGTCAAAGGGGTCCCGAAACCGCCGGGAACGGTTCGTCCCCGTCGACGAAATCTGCAATCTCATGCCCTTGAAAGTCCATTCCCTTGCCCGCGTAACTCGAGTGGCCCCCGTGGTATATTGCCGTTCCTCTTCTTTGGCTCTCGTGCGCAACACGTACGCCACCGCCGCGCTTCTGTTGTTGTAACACATTTCGTACGCGGGTAAACAACGCCCCGCGGTTTGCCTGGTAATTGCTCGAAACACCGGCCGAGTGTTTACAGTGTCATCGAAGCGCGGTCACACTTCGCCCGTAACCCATCGCCTCGAGCGAGCTCGTTTTTCCTTCACCTGCGACCACACGGTTGAACACCTCGCTGAGGGGTCGTCAAACCGTTCGAAACCGCGTGAAAAATCTCGAGTGTCACGTCTGAAACGATAGGTTCGGAAATTACAGTACCCGGACAAATACGTGTGTTTTCTTTGTATGTTGATATTATAACCTTTTCGAAAATCGGTCCTCCGTGTCGGGTGAGGAGGAAATACGAGGGGAAAAAATGATTCTGCGGAACCGATAACTTAAACACTCTTCTTTTCCAGTAAAGAGTTCGTTAATGCACAACGAAATTTATGTGTTGAAATGTACATTCCAAAGTGTAGATTTAATTTCTTTTGAAAAGCTCGGGATATTATTTAAAACGAAAGTTGAAAACCGGGAAATTTTGAAATACGAATGAATTATTTAAAAAGTAATTCGTTGTATACCAAATATAGTATGTTGAAAGTAGCAGGGTATTAGATTATTTAGGGACAGGAATTGGTAGTTCTATATAAGTATTATTGCTTGAATAAATTAATAAATTTCACTGATGAATGGGATTAGCAACAAAAAGTCAGTTATTAACTTATGGCGCCACCTATCCAGAAGTCATACAAACTTCATAAGAAATTGAAAACTTGTCGGATAACTGGAAATACTTTACAACTACGTACGTATCTGTGTATATTCATAAAAAAATATTCCAAATTTAGAGCGTAAAAATATAGTAAATTTATTTTGTTTAAAGATAAGTAAGTTGTATTTACAAGTTTTTGATACAGTCATACTCCCCTACTTTAGAAAATTACCAATAATGTAATTTCATTGAAATCATAATCTATAACAAGCAAAATATTGTCTAACATATGAGGTGAACAAGTATGTGTTGCTTTGAATGATGTTCTTAGAAATTGTTACAGTGAATTAAATCAATTTATTTCTAATTCTTCAGGCTCATGTTCATCATTGGATGCTTCCATTCTTTCTTCTGATTCTGCTGCTTCTTCCAATGCTTTCCTTTCCTTAAGACCAGCAGCAGGTGATCTTATAAGAGACAGATCACGCTGAACTTCTTTCACATCCCTTTCTCGTTCTAATTCACGTCCTTTACGTAACCGCTGCATTATGTGTAGATTCTGTCTCCTCTGTCTGATGTTTTCTACTTTCTTCATTGCTTCAATGCTCTTACTCCATAATTCTCTGTTATATTTGATGGGGATGTTTCTCCTCCTTTCAAATTCAAAGGCTGGATCCACTGCCAATTCTTTGCCAACTGTTTTTCTGTATGCCTTGGTCCATTTGACTTTCCTTGGATTTTTCTTCTTTTTGAAAGCAGCATGACATTTTGACCGACAAAACTTGAATATCTGTTGCAAATTAAGTTTTTTTTTTATTACAAAATACATATTTCACTCACAATTAAGAAAACCTTAAGCAATATACACATAACCTAAATATAATTACAAACAACAAAATGGTAATGTTTCAAACCCAAACAGTTTGTTCCTCACGATCTATAAGTTATTTATATCTCCTTTATTTAATGAAGTACTTACCTTACAATCATTTCTTACAAATTGTATTCCATGTCCCGGATAAATCCGGGACGAACAGAAATAACACGTTTCTATACGCATGTTGCATGAGGTTATGACAGGTTATGAAAATGCTTGCTGGCTGAATTGGAAGTCCAAAGCATGAACATATACTAACAGCATATGTAGTAGTTGTTCAACCCACTACCGATTCAGTATGTACAAAAAAAATTGCGCAAACTGGAAATAAATATTGTTTTCTGTTGCTAGATTTTCAATTTCTTTAAGTTACGTTATACATTAACAATTATCAGTTGTAAAGTCTTTAATTAATATTTAATTCTTTTAAATGTAATGAAAAAGTAGTAGAAATAATCTACGACGCCAACCACGAGAAAAGTCTCAAGTTCCTAATCCATTTGTACCATTTTCCCGTCCTTAGATGGTGCCACCAATTTAGTCCTAAATTGGCGGTAATTTGTAGGTCTCTTGAATTTTCATCGATTATTCTACTTCTGCTTATATTATTAAAACAAAGAGTCGCTGACCATCGACGGCACTTCTTCGAGGACCGTATGACGATATTAAAGAATGAAACTATTAAACATGAATTTATTTTACAAAAACAACAAATATAAATACACACTTAGCTAAATACATTTTCAATACTATTACCTTTGACGGAGGCCTCTTACATTCTGTTTTTTAAAAAAAGTATTTAAAGCTGCATTACGTGAGCAATTTGTATTCGATATAAAACTTTTAACACTTTACAACATGTTCTCTTTTCAGTTTAAAGTATGTAACAAAATTCGTTATTAAATTGTTTAATTAGTTGCTAAAAAAATAAAATAACCTAATTTAATTCCTTTTAATCTCGTAGCGTAATATAAAAAAAGAATAATATAGAAATTCTGCAGTCTTCATAATATCCCGATTTGTATCACAAACACCTTTTCTATTCTTTAACGTCTAGTTTCTTCTGAGGAATTTTGGAATGTACTAAATCCCATGTTATAAGAGTTTTGTTTGGCTTGGTACACAGATCCATTATAACTTGACCTCCTTTCTTGACTTGCAATGCTCCTAAACATGTACCAGCCGCCATGTTGTATATGGGTGTACCATTCTGGACATAAATAATCAGGTTTTTTAATAGGCACAATTGACGCGCAAAACAATAGTAAATACTTACATCTTTTTTATGCCGCCATTCCTGATTACCACCCATCTCATGACATTTCCCAAGTTTTGGTATTTTCTCTGCTCCTTCCATGCAGAGCATTTGACCAAGTACTAATTCCTCTTTGTCTGTTTCATACCACATCTAAACAGATCAGAATGCATTAAAAGAAACGTATTCCAGTAAATTATACCAGTCACATCAATAAATAACATTCTTCTTTTGAAAAATGTTTTTTTCCTTTTAATTACCTGTGATTTAATTCTCAAACATGTTGATAAAATTAGTTTGGAACCTTTTGTCTTAATGTCTTTTTCACTCTGAACGCATAAGGTAGTGTTAGAAAGCCTAATTTGATATTCATCGGTATAATTTCTTTTTCTAGAATGCCAAGGTTGAATTTGTCTCTGCTCTACTCTTGCCCATTTCTCTTTTAATCTACTCTTGGTATCATCCGGTAATGTCAATTCAGGATATACCTCTTTCAAATACCATGCAAAACTTTTGCAGTTTAATTCTTTACGTAGCTTTAACCTTTCTGTAACATCGCCATAGTCTACTTTTTTAATATTTTTTAAAAAGTAATCTTTATATTCATCTAACCAAACATATGCCACGCGTAATGAATTTTTCAACATAGTATCATGTTTATCATCTGCACCATATGGTCTACGTCTTCGAAATACATGTCCAACCCTGGAGCAGGGTATGAGTTCAATACTTCCACCACACATCCAAATCTAAAAATTATTATAAAATTACTACTGAGCTAGTATAGAAATATAGTACTTAGTACATTAGTATCTTACTCTAAATGATATCTCCAGATTTTCACCTCCCCACACATCCATCCCGGCATCGTATTCTCCAAGCTTTGTAAAATATTCCCTATCCATTGCAAACAGTCCTCCAGCCATTGTTGGTGATCTATGTAATAGTAATTACCAACATGTACATGACAAAATGTTATTAAAAGAATTATACACACGTAGACATGTGATCTTACTTTATAGGTTTTATGAAATCTTCAGCGTGTTCCAATGTACCAACTGGTAAACTATCCCATTTGAAATGCAGACCCCAGTTGAATCCACCTCTTACTAGAGGACTACTGGTGTACTGAAATGTGTCTGGATTGATAATATCAATAACTGGCATCGCAACGATAGTTTTTGAAAGAGCAATTCGTGAAAGAAGGGGTTCTATCCACATTTCATTTACTTCTATATGACTGTCTAAGAAGATCAAAACATCTCCACTTGCTTTCCTGGCACCAAACATTCTGGCTCTTATTAATCCTTCACGTTTTTCAGTTTTAAAATACTTTACTTTACCATTAAAATTATTATCAATATATGCTTTAATTTTTTCATGTAAAGCTTCACTGTCACTCCAATCATTTATCAAGATAATTTCATACAACAGATGTGCAGGAGTTCTTTGAATAATGGAGTGTAGAGATCTCAAAAGTGTCATATAATGTTCATTATAAAAACATATTACAATGCTGGCTTGTGGTAGTTTGGCAGTATAATTTTCTGTTTTACACAATTTGTGTCTTGTATCCGGTAGTACTCTGTGTAACCCAATGTTATCAGAGACTAACACATTAAAAGCATAGTTTTTGTGCCCTTCATCTCGTTTTCGTTGATCATCAAAATTTCTTACAATGCCTAGCTCATCCAAACCTATAAATATATTATATTATATTAATGTACTAAAAGTAATTAAAAAAAGGAATTACACAAAATTTATTTTCCTTATAAATTAAAGTATCAAAATACCTTGTCCTATAGTAACAGAAGGTTTTACTGGCTGAGGTTGTAAGTCTTGTAAGAGCTTTTCACTATTCTTATAATTAGACCCTTTTAAATTATAGCTACCTTTATGGGCTAATATTTCCTTATCACTGTGAAATATTAGATTATCACTTAATCTAAGTTCGCGATCATTGTGTGCTTTATGATCAAATGTAGATTCTTTCAATAACTTTGAACTCTCTGACACTAGAATCGTAGGATTAATAATGTCAGTGTTCTGCGACAGTCTTGAATAAAGGTACAAACTGAATGCCCATGTTAATGAGGCTATTATTACTCCCGATAGGAAAGAAAAGTATCTCGTTGACATCATCTATAAATTGTTTAAAAAATTAAATTAACAAGCGCAAAATATATTCTTTGTTGTAAGTAGCGTTAGTTTCATAAAAAATAATTTTTTATAATTAAAACATAATATACTCACTATTAAAATATCTATTCGTTAATGTAAATTTAAATTACAATTATTTCAACAAAGTATATTCTCATATTTATAAAAAAAACAATACGCAGGTGACAGTATCACAGAATGCGCGTCACCATCTTGAAATTTCTTATAACAGCTGTTTCGTGCGTTTCTCATTATTTTGAGGTATCTGGAAGCACGTGTACTCATTAGAAGTTACAAATGTTCTATAAACAGTAACTCTATGAAGATTTTTTTTATAGTAAAATTTATAAATGGTTTCTAATTTGTGCACTACTATTTTAAGAAAGAGAAGAAATTTATCAACCGCCCCTGTGGCCTAATGGATAAGGCATCGGTCTCCTAAACCGGGGATTGTGGGTTCGAGTCCCACCAGGGGTATTACACTCACTATTTTTTATTCGTAAAAAAGTTTATTTCTTCTTAAATTTATATTGTATTATAGAATTCAATACTTGTATAATTTTTTTTATAAATAATTAATAAGTAAACCTAAAATTAATTTGTTCAAGTAAGTGACACCAATATTTTTTTCATGAGATATATATTATAGAAGTATACACTTTCTTAACTTTTTAATTGAGTTCAATCACACAATTATTGTATAATAATATGTAGAAAATGGTACTAAACGAAGTTCAGTCTTTTGTACCGTTTTTGTAACCATTTTTATTGTCCGCTGAATAATGTGCAATGAATCGTGCAGATGGATCGTTAATTCCTTTTACCCAACGTGGCATCCAAAAGTACGGTACAAAACGTTCCGCTTGTCCCCCGTAATATTTCTCAAAGACGTTTCTAATATACAAAACAGTACTATTTATCTGTCAAATAATAATTTGTAAAATTCTTATGAAAAACAATGCTTTACCTGTAATAAAGTGCCTCTTTCGTTTTCGGAGTGCAATGAGAATATTTAAGATAAGCTTTTGCTAAATCCTCATCTGTTACACGATGATCTACTATTTCATGTATAATTTGGAAAAGACATTTCTTAATTGACGTTACACCATCGCTGAATGCTTCTTTATGCCTCCATAGTATATTTGATGGTAGCAAATTAGTGCCATCAAATGCAGATCTCAATAAATATTTTTCTACTCCTCCTATAATAAATATTATTTTTAACTATTATTGCAACTAGATTACATTAACGTTTTTCAAGTATATACTCTTCGAATTTACCCTGAGGTTGTCTAGACGCAGGATCTAGTGATAAATAATAATTTGTAAATTGAATATCTAAGAACGGAACTCGCAGTTCTAAACTGAATGCACTAGTTGTTCTATCTGCTCTTAAACCATCGTATAAATAGATATCTTTTAATAATCGAAGAGATTCATTATGAGCTTCTGCTGCGTTAGGTGCGTCTCTGAAATAAATATATCCCTGTGCCAGTTCATCTGCACCTTCTCCACTGAATATTACAGTTGCCTCTGTATTATATTTTATGTATCTTGAGATAAGATACATACTGAAATTTAAGATATTATTTAATCGGAAAGTTTAAAGTACCTCTTGTGAAAATTATATTTTACCCAACTGAAGCCCGGATTGTAGTAATATCGAAGGTTTCTAAGTGATAGATGAGTTTATCTAAAATCTCTGCTACCTCTTCTTCTGAAAATATTATTTCATGATGTTCTGTACCTATATAGTCTGCCACCTAAAAACGACATGTTAATACATTAAAATATTGATATAATATTTTATTCAATATATTATAAAAACATTTTCTGCAACCTGTCTAGCTGCAATAATATCTGGACTATCACCCATTCCAATAGCGAAACTTTGTATTTTATATGGTAGGTTTTTTTCTTTCGCATGTTTTACCAATAAAGCTGCAATTAAACTTGAATCTAAACCACCTGACAATAGACATCCTATTTTCCTATCAGCCATTAGTCTTTTTTCCACAGCAGCTGAGAGTAACATTCTTATGTTTCCAAGTACGTCCGTAGAACTCAAAACTAAAACCACATATTACATTATACTATTCTACTCACTTATATTTTTGTGAGTAACATTTTTAACTCAGTCCAACAAACCATTCCAATCAGTATGAACTTTAAAACTAGGTTTGTCTCCTGGTATATGATAGTTAACTTTTGACAGTTGTTTTGTTCGACCATCGTTGAAGATCTCATACTCCATATAATGACCTGGTTGAAATGGTTCCAACACCCACTTGGATGTTATTTGTTTTGTTATTTCCATAAGTCCCTAAACGCATGTTCCAATGCAATATAAATTTGACTCTTGTTAGAATAAATTACTTTTAATTTTTTACCTTGGTCTCTGAAGAAACTGCAAGTTGTCCATCATCGGAGTATAAACAAAATAGAGGTCTTACACCATAAGGATCTCTGCCAATAAGAATTCTCCTATTTTTAATATCCATTAAACAAAATGCAAATACACCATCAAGCATTTTGGCAACACTTCCTGCACCAAAATTTTCATACAAATGTATTATTACCTCTACATCACACTCTGTTACGAATTGAAATCCATATTCCTGGCCAATCTAGAAAAATAATTTAATTTTGAACTAATTCTAATAATAATGATATAATGATCTATAAAATCAATATTACTTCTTTGTGATTATAAATTTCACCATTGCATAATAAAAACAGGTGAGGATACTTATAAAGCCTCATTGGTTGCATTCCATGAAGATCATCAACAATAGCCAATCTATGAAATCCAAGATATCCATTCTACAAGAAAGATGATGGAAATTTGTTTACATTACGTATATAATTGTTGTATCAGTAATTAAGTATTAAAAGTTAACAGAATTATACTTTGACTGAATGATCATATTCAATTTTAAAAGCTTCTGGTCCACGATGTACAAGTTTTTCAAAGTTCTCACAGATACAAGTCAAAGGTGAATTTAATCCAAACAGGGCCCAAATTCCACACATTTTGTTTCTTCACTTTCTGCCTACTATAACAATATTAAAATCATAGTAATACATAAAAGCATACTCCCATTTTACAAGGATTACATTAGCTAAGAGGTCATGGTACACTTAACTTAAATATGTAAAATGACAGAATACCTTATGATAGAAATATTTTATGAGAAGTAGTAGTTTCCTCTTTTTTTCGAACGATTTGTACGTGAGTTATCATAGAAAGAAATTTTCTGGAATAAGTTACAGACAGTACTGTATGTTTTCTGTACGGCTGGCGGTGATTCCACGTTTGTACATGTACGCGCGACTGCGCATTATTGCTTGATTAGTACTGATGACATTATTTGCCCGGGAGACATTGGACTCGAAGAATACAGATGTAATTAAAAAATGTATTTAGTCAGTACTCAAGTAATACATCATTTTTTTATCTTATTCTTTCACTGTTCTGTGATGTTAATTTTATCGAACACTATAATATCTAGCATACGTTTCTTTCTTCTGACGTGTACATTAACTATATTTTCATGAGATTATACAGGTATTTGTTATGTTTATTTATTTGTTTTACATGTGTTGTTTACTACATGTATGGTTATTATATTATCTCTATCACTAATTCGTTGATATAGGTATCATTTCGCGATAGACATACCAATTTATTTAGTAAAGCAAATCCAATTAATGTATTACATAAAAATCACTGCACAGATAAATACATTCGACAAGTAATTAATTCGTGTATCTTATGTTAATGCGATAAAAGTCACTTTCTTGTACTTCTCTTTTAAACGTTGACATGGGACCCGAAAAAATACAGCAGCTCATAAAATTGTTTGTGGAGATTGTATGATTGAAAGAATTGCATACATGTAACTGGAGCGAGGTCTAGAATAATAGAAAATAGGAAAATTTTTGTTAATAATGCAGTATATACACGCAGGAATAGCTATGGCAGTCATTCTTGTATTTAATACAATCTTTCAAATAATCGAACATAATGTCATCCGATAAGTTCGTATAATCGAGATTCCACTATGTATACCATCAATTCGTTTCCTAACAAAACGTATGTAATAAGAATTAAAAATAATACTAATGGAAGGACGTTGAAAATACTGTGTATCATATAAATTCCTATTTTATATAACAATTCGTTTTTCCTTAACGTTAACAGATATTGTATAAAAACTTATTTGAGAGACGATATCGGTAACGAGACCGGACCAATGATTCGCCCGACGCTAGCGGTCGGTGGTGCCCTCTACCGATCGAATCATGAACTCTCTGATACTCGAGGTTGCAATCACGTTGTGGTACGGGTGGGGAGGCGCACGATCGCCGTTTCTCTTTTCCGGTTTATTCTTTTTCCGTTTAATTCGTCCCTGGTGCTACGACGGGGGCACGGTTTTTCGTGTGGTGTTCGCGTGGAACGGCACGCCGTGGCGGTGAACGGGTTCGTCGTGGTGTTTCCGCGTTCATGCGGGACAGGGAGCGATAGGAGCGGAGCCGGCGGAGTGCGCGAGTCGCGTCGGGACACCCAGGCCGTTACTTCGATCAGCTGGTCGTACGTGGGATCGTCTTGAATGTCGGCGTATAAGCGAGCGGGGCAGTTGGCTCTCGCCAGGGCTCCAGGAAGGATGCGCGAATGGGGGTGTGCGCTTCTCGAGACTGCCACCGGTTTTCTGCGTGCCGGCCGCTCGACGGCCTACAACGCGGCACCATAGCCACGGCCATTCAATAAAACACGAATCTTACGTGGTTCATTCATCCGTCCCCGGTCTGTGTGAGGTGTGATCGACATATTATACTCACGGGAATACCGAGTCATCGGCGAGACAGGCTGTCCGGAACACGAGTGATTTTTTCGTTTTACGGTGGAACATAACGTTACATATATCGGGAATCCGCAACGTTTCGTCGTCGCCACGCCGTACGTACTTAAGCCTGTAAACTTTAAGCACCGAATCGAAACTCATACACCTATTCAAGGTTAGAACCAACGATACGTTCACGAAGCAAGACGGTGGTGCGCTCGGCGTTTTCAACACGACGACGACGACGCGCTTAGGTTAAGTGGTGTCACCCGTTTTGGTGCCCCGGCATCGAGTGACAAATCGGAAGTAACGGAGATACGGGTCGTGACAATTACAGAGATTCTTTCTTCACGGATGTCGCTGTACCGAGTGCATTCCGATCTTGTCGGAGAGCGATAAACGTTTTGTTCGTCGCCGCGGCAGAACCGAGAGACGGAGCTCTTTCGCCATTGCAAGAGGTCGAATTCAACAAACGTACATATATATATATATATATATATATATATGTATATATTTGTGCGTGTGGTGCATCTCGGTGAATCGTAAGTTTTTCGCAAACTATATAACAAGCCCGATCGATACAGCGGAAACAATTCGGAGACGAAAATTGGGAAATTTCTCGAAGTAGCCTGCTGGGATTATCTTCCGCGTTTGTGGTGTTACCGACTGACGTGCACACACACACACGCGCGTATACATATATACACGGAAAAGGGGAATGCGTATTTTGGCTGTGCAAGTTTTCGATAAATTAAACGCTCCGATTTAGAGCGGCGAACGGTGTGATGCCCGATCGGCCATACGACGGTTGTCGAATCATCAAATTCTGTAATCGCGATAGCGCGATTGCTTACGCTCGACCGTGTCACGAATGCAGGAAACCGGAAGGAAGTGTATATGCAACACCGCTGCGACAAAAATCCATGGCTTGACGCGTTAGCGGTTCTCTCGTAGGGCCCTGTTATGACGTCAGTTAACGGCTCGCATGATTTTCGTACTTAATGCTAAACCTAACCTCAACGGGTGCAATACAAAGCGCTTATAATTGAAGAACCATCGCTGCCCAATTACAGTGGATGGAACAAGAAAGACGATTCGGGCGATTGGTTTTCCAGACGGCTTTCTTCGTAAACGACTGAGCAATTCGTACTTAACATCGATTTTGGCGGAGGGACGTTGTGCCGGCGTTATATGCCTGTTTATATTCGCGGTGTAACAACCCAGTTCCGTGTGTGAATCGTAATCTCAGTGAGTGCATCAAGCGTGGCGGGAAACGCTCTCTGATATTAATAATTTGTTTTGCTATTGAGAAAAGCACCTTGGGAACGCGAAATTTTGTGTCGTGACAAAGGCCGGTGATCGATTATCACGGGAATTAACGACGGCCGCTCCCAGAACATTTTTACACGGTGCCAGCGCATTGTTTTGAGGTGAGTTTAAGATTGTTTATTTTCCCGTATTCGTACGGAACACTCTAGACGTGTTCACATGCTTTTAATGATTCGTGCCGCTCGTAGCTGAATGACATATGGTCCGAACGGTAAGAATCATTCGAGCGTGCAGCAACCGTTTGCAAGCAACTTTAGACAAATTCCTGCTTGTGTATATAGATTAACACTTTATAAACTGTGCGAAGGGTTATATGTATAAACTTCATGAAAACCATTAGGGTAGGATGAAAAAAATGCTGGTTTTAATATTCATGAATCTGCGAGAATGTATTACACTATACGCATGGTACCGTTTGTCGGATCGTTCTAGAGGGTTGGGGGAGGGGGAGCTGGTCTTCACCGCCATTCTTTTTTAATGGTGTGACGCGAAAGCTCTTTTAAGAAGTTAGCTTTAAATAAGATTCATTTCTATCAGAGAGAGGAACGAAGTAAACAGAAAACATGGGTGCATTATTTTTCGTTCTATTTTCTATATTTATTAAATTATAACTGGAATATTTTTGAAAAGAGTTCATTTCGATTTTCTTCAGATGAAGGATAGTGGGTGACATCACCGACTATTTTTGTTTCGAACCCAATAGCTTACGAGGCGTATTGTGAAAACAAATAATATTTAAACAGTTTTTTCCCCGTATATCTCCAAACAACGGAATTATTTCAGTTCAATATTCAAGTGCTCCTACCCGACGGATTTATCTTATTTTATTTACAAATTATAGTTTTCATTGCCGTTATTGTGTAACCTATGCAATCTGTTGCCGTTTATTTATTTTTACACGTTGATACTATTTAGTCTGGATAGTATGCTTGTTACATTATATCTTGATAAAAAAAAAATAAAATATGCGACTAATAAGTATTGACTGTATTAATCGTTCGAGATAAAAGGAGACATACACGTGGCCTCAGAACGTACTTTCTTTTTCTCCCTATTTTACCAGACAGTAGTGCGGCAATTGTGTGTAAATATTTTCGTAATCGCTTAGCGGCGCGCATTAGCACGATTGTCGAACGCCGCCGTTAGACTATTAATTACCCGCGTTAATTACCGTTACATATGCGGGTAAATCGAAGCCTCCTTCGTTCGATGAACTTTATACGTGCCATCGAAGCGTTGCGTTACCTGCGGCGACGCGTTAAAAGCTTTTTCCTTTTGTTTTTACACGAAGCTTAATTTTCACGTTTTTCACTGTTCTGTAATTTCAATATCGTCGCGAGAACAAAGCTGTTGTTCACCTGTTCCATATTGTTAAGTTCGTTATTCAGATTTTTTTTTCTACGGTATTTAGTATTCAGATATGAAAATGAAATACAGTAGAAAGTGTTATTTGTTTCGAACGAATGAATATTCCGACTAGCCGGTAGATTCTTCAAGGTCACTTTCATTGAAACGAAATTTTCATTAAATGTGAACGCTACAGTGAGTCTATTGTTTTATCTCATTAGTAGATAAAATGGATAAAGTAAACTTCGAGCGAATTTAATATTCATTTGGTTTATTCTTCATTCGACACAGTACCTGAAGTTACTTCACCATGAACATCCGTCGTTTATTATGAAGTAACGATTTTAGTTAAAATTAATTTCAAGCATAAATAATGCACACTTGCAGTTATTTTTAATTATTAATATATCGAGCAAATGTTTTCACGACCGTTTACGATTTTTGGACCTTTTCTTTTTCAAAAAATTGATCGATCATTTAAAACAGACTTTGTTTACGGGATGATCTGACGTAATTTAAGACAGATGTGTCTATAATTTGATAGAAATACTAACCATTTGGATATATTGTCCTTAGCATCGTCCACCATTTTACTGTACGAGTCATTAAGCACGATAATTTATTTATTCGTATAATTCGCGAATCTGCTTTTATCCTAGATTGGATTTGATTCTGTTCCCAACGCAAACACTTCGACTCCGGTTAGTAACCGCTACTTACGTCACCGTCCTATTTTCCAAATATTTGTGATATCGGTTCGGGGGGGAGCGGAGGGGGGAGGATGCAATGTGCAAGCATCTTCGCGTGTATAAAACGTTCGATTCGTATGCATTGCTAGAAAGCCTTTTAAACTCAATACTTGTTTACTATGAGACGTTTCAAGATATTGCACCGAGTACGGATAAATTTTGTTTTCGTTTCTTTTATTCATCTTATGATGTGAAAAATACAGAATCATTTTGTAGAGGAAAAGACAGATGATTGTAGAAAAGTAATCCTTAGTCTAGTTATTCTACATATGTAATTTGTTAATATTGTTTCGTTTTGTGTCTGAAGGACGAATAAAATTGATGGCGAGGAGTGAATTAAAAAGTTATAATAATAATAGTTATTCTTAGAATAGTATTAGTATATAATTGATAAGACGAGGATGATGTAACCCTGACGTAAAGAGTAGGTGACATATCGTTTGTTTATCTAAATCAGTCTGGACACAGATTGAAGACAGAGTATACAAAATTTCAAGAATCAATATTATTGGTTCGCGATACTTAACTTTGTTACAAGTTCGTTATTAAATTACTTATACAAGTTTGATTACTCTAGCAGATTGAATCAACTGTTTCCGGGATCCTTCATTGCACAAGGAGGAAATGTTATTAAGTTCATTATGATTGTACTTAGATACAACGAACATAATATGTTGTTTAAATTTCGGAAGACTGGATAAAAGCTATCGTGATTCTAAGAGTGTCAATACAGGCCATTCTAGAATCAAAATTCTGATCTCAAAGGAATCGATATCGATCATTTAGAAATTAAGTAACTGGATAGAAATCATGAAAGACTATACGTACTACTTCAAACTCAAATGACCTGATACAAACCATTCCAGACTCGGTAAACCCGATACAGACCATCTCAGATTTGAAAGACCTGATGCAGAGCACACCGAATCCGAGAAGACCCATACAAACTGTTCCAAATTCAAAAAACTTGATAGATCCGATAAAGAATATCCCGGATTCGATACAGACTATACTGGATTCGTAAAACTTCGTAGAATTTATTTTGAGACCCCGATGATTTTCAAGACCCCCGAGACCTCAGACTCCTGAGATCCCCAAGACCTACCAGACTTCTCAGGTTTAGTATGGTCTATATTCGATCTCTTGGGTCTAGTATGATCTATATTCGATCTTTTGGGTCCGGTATTACCTATATTGAATCTCTTGCGACCAGTAAGGTCTTTATCAGATCTTTTGTATTCGGTATGGTTTATATCGGATCTGGTGGATTCGGTATTATCTATTCGGTCCAAAGTCGCTTTTCTCGGGTCTTCTGAGTGCGGGATGATGTGTCGGGTATCTTGTATTCTGGGCTGCCTATGTCGAGTCTTTTGAACGCAGAATGATCTGCAATTAGAACATTTGAGTATTTTAGATTCTCTATATTAAATTTATTGCCTTCCGGTTAGTTTGTAATACCCTGAATTCTGAAATGTATTTTTTTTATTGTAGTTCCATGTGTTCGATGTCGATTCTGTTCCCTTTGTCGAGTTTATTGTCGCTTGTAGCGTCTTGTCTGCAGTTTAGAATCGTATGCTATCGAATCTCGTACGTATGGAGTTACTCGTGTTGGCGTTGCTCTACATCTGGGTTAATCTGTATCGATTCATTTGCGTTCAGAATAGTCTGTGTCGCGTCTTTTAATGCTAAAGTGAATTAGGGTCTGGTACTTTTTGCTCTGGAATGATCAACGTGCTATATACATCAATTTTATGAATACAGGACCTTATTTTTTTTTTGTGTCTACTAGTGATCCACTTTTACTGTGACCGTTGGTATCGATTTTATGTGCATTTACCGTATCCGTCAGTTCCATATCCCTATTAAGTTGAAATAGTCGATGTTAAAACGTGATATTTTTAGAATTGTGCCAGATAAATAGAAGAACTATTTAAATATCCTAATATAATATATTATACGCTTTCTCTCATGAGGTTCTTCGTAATGTTCTTGTACATTAAAAATATAAAATGAATATTAAATCTTCAGTTTGATACACGATATTAAATTTGCAGTAATTTATTTAAACAAATGTCCGTCGATCCAGGTATATAAATAGAACACCGAAAAGTAATTTCTTTACATCCTTTGTATTATAATTTACTTATGTAAATTTTGCATCGTGACATTTTCACATATCTTCTCGCAATTCAGCAAATAGTGCCAGTCAGTTGTTATAAAGATTTTTCTAAGCATACATTATTTCTTCGTGTAGCTTAATATATTTTGTTATTCAACGAGGACGAATGGGATTATTAACCCCGATCGAAATTGTTTTTTTTCACGTGTTCTACCGTTCCGTTCCGGTTGATGACTTTTTTTTTTCTCTCTCGAAACGTAATTGAAGCGAAACATCTGTTCTCCTTGAAACACTAGATCTCTCTCCGCCATCCGTCATGATAACTGACATTGTGTGCTCAATGGTTTTTTTCAATTTCGTATCTTGACTCCATTTCACGAGACGTTTTCTGCTTTTCTATTTTTATCACCGCCTCTCTTCGTCGTACATTTCCACGGTGTAGAAATTCACTCTCTATCTCTCCCAGGCGACATTCAAATAAGCTGGTTAAATCTTACACGATTCCACTGCGGCTGTATTTTCTTACTCATCGCGGATTTAAAGAGTTGTGCAGATAACGGCACAGATCGTTTTTTGGAAAACAGGTTTGTTTGCCAATTGGTCGGATCGATCTTGTGGAAAATCGAGAATTTTTGGCTTAACTGTTCGAATCACGGAATTTTACAATAAAAAAAGAATGCCTAGTTGCATTGTGCGTTAAACCTTGCAATTAAACCTTTTGTTTGGGAAGGCGCCATTTTTTATTTCTCACATTTTTTAAATTATTCTGGTATGGCCTATAGCCACACACATACGAACTAAGAAAATATTTGTTTTTTTTATTTCAAACAACCACAAGAGTCTGTACTATGGCCGTTTAGTAAATATATATATATATATTATTTAA